GGACTACTTCACCAAGTGGCCGGAAGTGTACTCCATCCCGAATCAGGAGGCTTCAACAATAGCGGAAGTTCTGGTTGCCAACTTCTTCTGCCGCTTCGGCATACCTCGAGAGTTGCACAGTGACCAAGGCCGTAACTTTGAGTCTCATCTACTGAAAGAAGTTTTGCAACACCTGGGAGTGAGCAAGACGCGCACCACACCCCTGCACCCACAGTCGGATGGAATGGTGGAACGCTACGTCAAGACCATCGAGGAGCACTTGCGGAAGGTCGTCACATCGCACCAAAGGGACTGGGATGAGAGGTTACCCCTCTTTCTCCTAGCTTACAGGGCATCCAGTCACGACACTACGGGCCTGACGCCTGTTGGTCTAGTGTTCGGACGAGAACTACGGCTACCCTGCAACCCACAACCGATTATGCAGCAGACTTAGTGGATCATCTGCACAACATCCACAATTATGCCCGGCAACACCTGAAGCTCGCCAGTGACCAGACGAAAACTCGGTACGATAAACTGGCCAACTCCACAGGTTATGACGAAGGCGACCGAGTCTGGCTCTATCGCCCAACCCACAGAAAGGGGAAATCGCCAAAACTACAAGCATCATGGGAAGGTCCTTACAAAGTATTGACCCGGATAAATGATGTGGTTTACCGAATCCAGAAGACCCCTAGGTCGAGGATGTTGGTTGTACACCTCGAGCGGCTCGCGCCTTATCATGGAGCTGCCCAAGACGAGCAACCATAAAAAGGGGGGAAGATGTAGCGGCTGGAGAGCAGAGCACCGGGGAGAAGAGAAACAGTAGGACACAAAGATGCTGCTGCAAGAACAGCCTCCAAAGAAAAGGAACGGGGGAAGCGCTGTTAGGCTATTCGGGACGAACAGCCTTAAGGAGGGAGCAGTGTGACATGTTGCGCAACGGAGGACCCCTACCTCCCCAGCGGCACGTGGCGCTCCCTTCTTCCCCCCCTCCGCGGTGACACAAGACGGCGCGAGGTAACAGCATTGCTAGGCTATACGCAAACACGGTGACGCGGCGGGCAACAGGTAACGGCGAACGGAATAAAAGCCGGCTGAGCAGCAAGCGAGGGCGAGTGTGTTATCAACAGTTCTCAAGGTAGCAGCCTATGAGTTGAGTTGGAATATAGCAGCCGTCGCGGAAAGAAGAACCGGACGTGTGTGTGTGTGTGTGTGTAACTGTGTAATTGGGAGTGTGTGAGACAGAGAGACTTGTATAGCTCCCATACTGTGAATACGTGTAGCCTACTGAAGATAGAGTGAACTAATTTGCGAATAGGGTTATAAATCGTGAAACCCCGCAACAGTGTGAACATATTATTGCGAATAGGGTTATAAAGTGTGAAACCCCGCAACTGTGTTATAATTAATTGTAGCTGTTACTTGTAGGTTGTTGAATAAACCAGTTAACAATCTATATGGCGTATGCATTAACGAAAGACACGTTACAGTATTATAAAATAAGCTAAGTTTCATTGTTATTAGACATATATTAATCCAAGACAAAATTAAATCACCAATTGTATAAAAACATTTATAACTCTCTTGTCAATCAAAAACTATTACACTTGTTTATGTTAAGAAAAAAAATCTATCTATCTATCTATACTTACAGAAGCAGAAGAAAGTGTCCTTAATTCAGTAGGCACCACACTACAAAACAANTGAAAGCCTCAAATCTTACAATTTTCAGCAAGATGCCCGACGACAAATATTAAAAAACTACAACCTAAACACACACTCAAAAAACACACCCCTACCCATTTATCCGCATAAAAATTTTCACACCCAACAGCCGCAGCTTCAAGCCATAAAAGTACATGACACCCTTCTAAGCGAACCTAATTCTACAGTACGAAAGGACACAGACCAGATATAAGGGATGACGTCTTCTCCAACTTACCATCGCTTGATCAAGAAAGACGTGAAAAATGCGACGCACCCCTCACCATAAAGGAGCTGACTACAGTGCTCCAAAATTCAAATCCAGCAAAATCACCTGGACTGGATGGGCTCACATATGAATTGTACAGGAAGTTCTGGAATGAACTTGGCCCTCTGCTCGTACGAGTGGCAAACGTAAGTATGCAGGAAGGAAAACTGCCAGCTTCCATGCATAATGGAATAATAACCCTTATCCCCAAAAAAGGGGACCTAACAGTATTATCAAACTGGACACCCATAACGCTACTAAATACCGACTACAAATTAATAACAAATTGTCTAGCTGGAAGAATAACATCAGTGCTCCCAGACCTCATCACCACAGACCAAAGTTATTGTATACCAAACAAAACCATTCATACCAACCTGCACCTCATCCGAGACGCCATTGATCACGCCAACGTGCACCATCTGCCTCTTGCAGTCATATCGCCTCAGCATATGACTGCGTGGAACACCCTTACACTTTCTACATACTGGAAAAGTTTGGCTTTGGAAATAACTTTATTCAGAACGTACGAACTGTGTACCGCAATGCGCAAGGACTGGTTATGACTAACGGCACGCTCACAGCTCCCTTCAAATATGGAAGAGGGGTGCGACAAGGCAACCCCCTCCCCACGCCACTTTTCACCTTAACAACTGAGCCTTTTCTCTTACTATGCAACCAAACACTACGAGATTATGGACTCAAAATACCAGCTGCCATCAATAGAACACTGGTCACCAGCGCATATGCAGACGGCATCATGGTATTTATTACAAAAGATGAAGGGTTTCCACGCCTGCTGCAAAACTTCATGGTTCATGGTGTCATATCAGGAGCTACCTTAAACATACATAAATCAAAAGGACTGTTTGTAGGCCGATGGAGAAACAGAACAGACTGCCCGTTGGGCTTCCAATGGAGTGAACAGGGCGGAAAGTACCTGGGAATCTACCTAGTCAACACAGACGATTGGCAGCAACAAAACTGGACACAACTTGAAATCAAGATATGAGCAATACTACAAAAGTGGGAACAAGTAACGCAAGCCACATCATACCCTGATAGAAGACAAATACTCAACCAACTAGTTGGAGCCAAAATGACACACGTACTGACCATACTCCAACCCACCACCACATTCCTAGACACGATGCACAAGCTGATAGTCAACTTCATATGGCAGGGCAAACACTGGAAACATCCTAACTTTGTATATGGAAGACTGGAAGACGGAGGAATAGGCATGCACCACCTCCCAACCCGCATTAAAACCATATTGACGCTGATCATTCTGAGCCCTTATTTATTTGGATGACCATGAAATTTATTTCTAATTAATTCTCGGTAATTTAAATTTCAAAAGTCTTATGTTTCGGTATTACTGGAAATGTATCGTGATCTATAATATCGTATTTCATCGTCTGGGACGTGCAATACGATGTTTACGTTGAAAATTTCTAGATTTGGCAGAAACAAGAAGTCCAGAGTTATAACATTTACGACCAGTAATAAATTTAGCTCGGGTACAGGGAACCAGACGCGCCTAAAAGGACAGGTCAGAGCTTGTTACAATTGCCTGTGAATGAGGGCCAGTATGATTGGGTTGCCTCGTTCAAGCTTCCCACGGAAGATGGGATGAAATGTATATGAAAACACCATCTTTCGAATTCCTGGCGTGGGGGTGCAAGCCATTCCACAAAAAAGGAGACTTTCAGAATATTCCGAACTGAACGGATGTGACCTTGCACGCTCCGAGACATA